TGAAAGGAGGGCGTGGTAGAGTCGGCTTGGGAACACTTGACTGTACCACCCACGAAGGCAACAGAAGCTTACACTTTCATTCTTGTATGCTTGAATGAACACTGAAAAATCCCCTTAGGATATCTTTTCGCTCATGGTTATCGGGAGGTCAAAATGCTAACCTGATAAAATATTGCCTTACAAAATGCGAAGAGGCAGTCGTAAAAGTAGTCTCTCTAACATTTGATGCTCACGCAACTAATATTTCAGCCAAAGGACTATTAGGTTGCCGAATAAAAAACCTGGAGAATATGGAAACTACTTTCAAGCATCCAGCAGCAGACCACGACGTGGCGGTATTTTTAAATTTCAGTCACATGATAAAACTGATTGTATATACTCCAGATTAAAACTACAAGGAAGCGCAAAAATAATGAAAACGAAAATTATAAAAAACTTAAATCAAGAGCTATAATCTACCCTTACTGTGAAGTGCTTCCATGGGTTTAAGGGATTGCTTGTTTGCATAGAGAGCCTTAAGCATTTATTGAATACCTTAGTGGAAGGCACAAAAGAAGTCGATTACATTGCCACCTACAGATAACCAGGACCATATCGAGCTACTTTTTGGGTCGATAAAGATGCATGGTGGACACAATGATAATCCAAACGCGCTACAATTAAAGGGTAGATATAGAAAATTACTTCGTCGCATGGAATTGCAAGAAAAAGAAACTGGAACTTACGTGCCATCTGCTTTGACCTGCATCAACACTACAACGTTTTCAGAGAGATTTGATGATACAGATGAAGAAATTAAACAATTATGTAAAAAACACCAGTTGAAGATGTTGTCAAAATTGAAATTGCGTCGTGTAATGATGATCCTGATTATAAAAATCATATTGTTGGCTATACAGCTGGGAACATAGTGAGGCATGTAACTATCCGGGTAATATGTGTATTTTGTGTTAACAATATATTGTCAAAAGACAAACTATGGTTTCATAGTTCATAGTTTGTTTAAGGGATCAAGGTGGATTAATTTATACATCAAATGAAGTTTATTCTATATGCAGTGTTGCTGAAAGTTGTATGCAAAATTATATAAAACAGAATCCGGGTGGCAACTCAGAGAAAGAATTAACCGTTCGGGTAATGACCAAACTCATTGGCAGGCCTCTCTTTCCTACAGTGGAAGAGTACGTAAATTCAATTGACAAGGATTATTGTTGATCGATACTTAAGAATTAAATTTTCCTACGAGTCCAAAAAAGACAATACTTCTCAAATTGTGTCACCGAAACGACAATGTTTAGAAAACAGTTACAGCTGCAAGGTTATTAAAACATCTAACTGATATAGTCATTAACATAATTAATTAATTAATATAGCCCACCAGCCGTAACCAGTGTGGCACAGCTCCGACAGGACCGAACTTCCTGCTGCGTCCGGCCGTACCGACGACGCTGTTGTACCTGTCGCGGCTGCATTACTCCACGAAGTCTGAGGAAATAGTGGAGTATATCAGTCATAAAACCAAATACACCCTGAGGGTCGAGCGGTTGGAGTCTCGCCGCAACGTGAACTTCAATTCGTTTGTGGTGAGAATACCGACCGAACATCTTTCGACCTTCATGAAAGAGGAATTTTGGCCGAAGGGTGTCATATATCGGCGATTCCGCGGCCGGTTACCTGACACCAGATTGCGCCACACGTCGCCGATAAGGGAAATCGTGTAGATTAGTTTTTATTATTATATTGTATGTATGTTTGTTTTAAGGTATATATAATATACATAGGTGTATTTTGTTTTTATATTGTTATTGTTATATTATATGTATGTTAGTCTGTAAGGTATGTATCTATGGGTCCTAGTTGCCTGAAATAAATAAATAAATAAATAAAATAAAATAAAAATAATTATTTTATATATAAAAATTAATAAAATATTCCCACTTCTAATTCATTTAATTTCTTCCACCAGCGATTTTTAAGAATAAGCAATATCGCGGCGGTTGAAGAATTTCTGATGAATTTACGTTAACTATTTTTAGGGAATATATTTAGTATTAGCTTTCATTAGTTTCATGTGAAACTCCTTATTCTTGTTCATCATACAGGACTCATTTAAAAAAAAATATTTTGCCCAGACTCAAAGTTCTTAACTAAATTTATTTCAGGGAACTAATATTAAGACTAAAAAAGTCATCGTTAGTTCTCCAAAGTCATGTATAACTTTCAGGTTCAGGTTCTTTATTGTTATCATGTAGTTTTCATGTGTTTACCAACGGATAATATCACGCTATTCATATATCCAAATTTTCATGAACTAAAGTCAAATTCGATAGTTGCACTTAAACTCGCCTTTACATTTTTGTTCACGTATAAATTATGTAAAAATTGGGTAGTATTTATTAACTTAATGAGTTAAGCAAGATACAATTTCCCCACTTTTGAGGGAAATGTTATTCCATGGCATTATTATTTGTATATCTATCATTATGTGTGCGTGCAGACGAGCGGTTACGCTCGTCTGCACGCGATACATGCAGCCGTAGACGCATACCACACCTAGTAGTGCCGGTGATGATTTTATACCGAATTATCGGATATCGAAGTTATAACAGGTAAAAGAACTAATATTAATTACTATTTAGGTAACTACTCTAGCAAACCATAAAGTTTTTAATGCCTGGGTCTGTCATTTAAAAAAAATAAACAACTTCAAAAATACGTCACGACAATCGTGAGTGTTACGTTTGGGCTGGTAATTTCGGTGTTTATTTCTTAAAAACATAGCGTAAGTAGCGTTTTTTAAGTTTACCCTGAATATAAATGTTTATAAACTATACTTTAAGGAGTAATTTCATGGTAAACGTTAGAACCACTCAAACGGAATATTATCATATTTATCCAAGTACACCAAAAATTTCATTAGTGCTTTTTAAGTGCAGGATTTGCGGTGTGTTACTGCATTTTATTTGAGGTGTTTTTATTGGTAGTACGGAGGGTATTTATTTAGCAATGTGGAATAATAATTTTTATTTATAAAAACTTGTATTTAAACTGAATGCTTTTCTAATTTGCGAAACCAAATAGCCGCCATTTTGCGGTAGGAGGAGCGCATTGCGTGAGCGGGTAAATAAAAGTTGCTTACGCCTGCACTAATTTAATTTTTGCCTCACTTGTCACAGTTCGGCTGATATGAAACTATCATTCTATGCGTTATTATTCTAAGTTATGTACGGACAACGGCACATCAGACTACACATTTTTGTTCGAAAATCGCCTCCAGTGCAACGAAACAAGATACGTCAATGTGTAGCTTGATATGCTGGCGTGGTTCTATATCGATGTCTTACTTGCTGAAACTCCTATCTTATAAAGAGTGCTTATTCAGGTATTTGCAAAACTTTATATTTATTTTAAATTTCTTATCAAGGGTGTAAATGTGGATGCATTACTTTGAGAAAAAAATTTGTATATACAATCCATTTTTCGCATTTCAGTAACATTGTGCTTTAAGATAAGAGTTTGAGAAAGCAAGGCGACGAAAGGCTAAAGCTCTGAGCGACACTGTAACTGTTATAGACAGGCGTGTTGCTTATCATCAGGCGCACGACTTGTTCGTCTCGTCACGTGGTATTATCAAAACGTAGCTGGTTATGTACTATTGATTGTATATCGTACACGAAACCAATATACATAATACAGTCGTAACTCAAAATTCTGGAATGGCGAAAACGCAATGTTGAAAAAAGAAAAAAACGAATGAAACCATTACATGTATTCTCGTTCATAAAATGGATAATTTTTATTATGTATAAATAAAAATAATCATATTATTCGCAATAAGGTCAATTTATATATTTTTTTTAATTTTCATGTGTATTTTCATTTCCACAACTTTGACTAACGACAGTATTTTTGGTTTCATGGGGTCTACTACCGTTCTTTGTCTGAAACAACTGTCAAATACGTACTACTCGATCAAATTAAATGAAGCGTGATGCGAATTAAGCTTCGTACTTATCATTGTCTTTTGACTTGATCGAGTATTACTTATTTGACAGTAATTATTTTGGATGGACATCGGACAAAGAATATGGCAACAATCTTGAGTGCTTTTGCAATTTTTTTGTGCCAAACTTTTTTAACATCTTCCTTACTTTAAATTTTTATTGAATTGATGTTCAATTATTTTTTGTGAAATTATTCCACTAGTTGCATTGACTTACAATTATATGGACGTCGGGTCCGCGCTAAAAAGTGTCCGCACTTGTAAGGCGTTAAAATCATATACAGAGCGTCAAACTCCGCTTTAGTCTTAATTTGTTCGACTGACAGCGCGATACTGCAATGACATTACAATTTAAATTCGAATATGTTGACTTGGGACATTTTTTTCGTGGTTTTTTTATTAGACCCGTCGTCCATTTATTTGTAAGTCAATGACTAGTTGGTTATAATTATTAATACAAAGATTGAACACTCAGAAAACATTACTTCGATCCGGCCGGATTCGATCCGACGTCTTCTAGCTTACCGTGGCAGACGCTATACCAACTAAGCCACGGAACGAACCAGCGGACCTCACGAATTTTTCCATGTGCTTGCGTCGTATCTTTG